GCCTTGGACACTTCCAGGGATCCAGGGGCAGCCACAGCTTCTCTGGGCAACCTGGGCCAGGGCCTCCCCACCCTCCCAGCCAGGAATTCCTTCCCAATCTCCCAATTAAATTTACCTTCCTTTAACCACTTACAGTCCCACTTACAGCCCCATCCCTGTGAAAATACCCAAAAACCAGTCTATTGAGCTGATTATTGCTGTCCAAGTCACTCCAGAAGTCAGGAGGGGAGATGACCAGACTCTCCAAGAACACGTTAAAAGTTCCTGGATATTTATTCTCACCCCATATCCCAACAAACCCAGCAGTCCCTCTCTCAGTTTTTCCCTGACTTATAAACCTGCCAAGGGTTTTGTGGGATTAATTCTGCCTGGTTTCCCCCAAGCATCGAGATGGGGAGGCTAAAAGTGATCTCAGGCAATAAAGCCCAAGTACCTCAGGTAAATATTGCTCTTAAAAAGCCATTTACAAGGTCGACAATGGCCAGCAACACCTTAAATAAAACAAAGCACCTCATTGTGTGGAATGGTCTGGAAGGGGAGGGGAGAAATAAGTCAATACACCAGGGCTCTGAAACCCAGAGCAAGCCCCTCCATTTATCCAAATTCAGCCCCAGCACATCAATCCTTCTCGAGTTTCCTCCAGTTCCAGGAGGTTTGCACAGCAGCAGAACTCCTCAAACACCCCTTTTTCCCACATAAAAGGCTTTTTGTGCTACAATAGTTTATTTTTCCTTAAGTAGTTCTTAAACAGAGACTTTAAATTTAAGGAGATCTCAAAGAAAACACGGTCCCTGCACGGTAGGAGCCCTCAGAGGGCTTGTTCTCATCTCCAACGCTGGTGAAATGGTTATTTGAGCTTTGCTAGATAAGCAATTAACTCCCCAATTAATACTAATATTTTGTATGCAACTGGGTTCTTATTTGAATAAGCAATTATGTGAAGTTCCTTTGATTCCAAATTAGTACCAAAAACATCCTGGCATGGATGGAAATTGTTCCAGAAGGGTTTGTTTAGATCCAAGCTCTCTGTATGTGCAGAACAGAGCACACCCCTGGCACAGAATTTATGAGAGTAACTCATAAAAAAAATAAATCCCTGCCCAGGGTTCCAATGAAGACGTTTCCCCCCTTCTCTGAAGGCTCTGGAAATCATCCACCTGGCTGAAACAGGAGCAGGGGACAGGACTCCAGTGCCTTGGAGGACACTTGTGCTGAGGGTGCTGCTTTTAACCAGCATAAATCATATTTATAAATAATATAATACAATATATTGTAAAGATAATACAATAATAAATAATATAATACAAAAGCCACAATTCAATATATTTCTCTGTGATCCTTGGAGGATAATTGAGATAAGAGAATCCCCAAGGGAGCTGAAGGCAACAGGTACATGTTGACAGCACAGAAAATGGGATTCCAGGCTGTTCTGCGGAATTAACTGGGAATATGTGACTGTCAGCCCCTCCAGATCCCACAGAGCCATCCCTGCCATTCCCAGCAGGACCAGGCACACCCAGAGCTCCCTCTGCCCCTGCCCATCCCTGTCCAGCTCCCTGGATTTCCCTGAGCTGTTCTGGCTGACTGGAATCCCAGCTCTCTGAGCAGGGCAGTTCCAGCCTCTCCTTCCCTGTTCCCTCACTGCTTCCAGAGGCTCCAGCAGCACCTCGGGAACTGCCAACAAATCCTGGGTTCCCCAGGCCATGGAGACACAGAGAGCAGGGAGGGAGGGCTGGTTATCCTGGAATCAAACCGGTTTGGGTGGGAAGGGACCTTAAAGCCCACCCAGTGCCACCCCTGCCACGGGCAGGGACACCTTCCACCAGTCCAGGTTGCTCCAACCTGGCCTTGGACACTTCCAGGGATCCAGGGGCAGCCACAGCTTCTCTGGGATATCCATTCCAGTTCCTCCCAGCCAACAATCCCTTCCCAATCTCCCATCTCTCCCTGCCCTCTGGCAGTGGGAAGCCATTCCCTGTGTCCTGTCCCTCCATCCCTTGGAAAGTCTCTCTCCATGTTTCCTGTAGCCCCCTCCAGGTTACCATCAGGTCACTCTGAGGCTTCTCTTCTCCAGGCTGAACATTCCCGATTTTCCCAGCCTTTTCCCCCAGCAGAGCTGCTCCATGCTCTGATCATCCCCACAGACCCACAGTGTCTGTGGCACCAAACCCCTCTGACCAACACACAGCCACCCTCTGCTTTTCCCCTCTCAGCTCCCTTTCCTCTCACTTCTGTCACTGAAGTTGAATCCCATCCAAAAGCAGGAGACAAAAGCCCTGGACAGTGCAAGGATTTTGAGTGAGGAAAAAACCCAGAAGTGAACACAACAAGTTCCCAACAGTATTTTTTTGTGACAAATATGACTGAGAAAAAGAAGAGAACTTTATTTTGGCAGCTTCCTCCACAGACCAGAAGATGTTCCTTAATTTCCTGCAAATAATTCTTATTATTTGCACCACAAAGCACCAGTGATATACAAAGACCTGGACCACAAACTCCACTCCCAACTGGACATTTCCTTCTGCAATTAATGCTTTTGATTCCACCCAAACAGAACTCGACAAGAATTAGGTTCCCTCAATTTCAGTCTTGACTCATATATTGAATTTTTTTTTAAAAGCACATCCCATTTGACCGGAATTGGGTCTGGAAATGCCTCCTCCCTGTCAGGGGAGCTGCACAACATCCCAATGAGCTCGTTTAGAGAGGCAGGAGGCTGACTGTGGGTCAAGAAAATCACTCTAAGACATCACTGGCTCACTGTAACTGCTCAGCAAATAAATCATAGTTCATTACTGGCGCTCTCTGAATCCCAAATAGAAATTACAAGCTGCAAAGACTGAGAAACCCTCATTGTTTTCAATCTTTAAACCCCAGGAAAAGGTCACTGAGGTAATTGCTGCAAGAAAAGATCACAGGTCAGGAGAAATGTTTTTTTTCCTTTTTTTAGCTTGAAATGATCAGGAAAAAGAGTTTGCACTGTGATGAATTAAAGAGTGTATTTAATCCCATCTCCAATTCCCTCCAAATATTGCATAGATGGAAATTCCAGTTGTGAAAATCGGCCCTGGTGGGTCTCATTCAATCAGGGGGGAGCAGATGGTGCTCTGGGGGGGATCAAGGGGTCCTGTGCTGGGACAAACAATGTTGTCAGAGGTGTCCAGGCACTCCTCAGTCCCATTTTCTTTGGGATTTTAGGATGTTCTAGTACAGAACTGGTGACAGCCACGGACACAGGGTACAGCCAATACCCAGGGACAGAAAACATGAGTGCAGAGGGAGGATTCCAAACCTTAAAACACCTCATGTTGTCAGAGAAGCTCATTTGTTGAGCAGTTTTGGACTAAACTGGGCTGGAATGAGATGATCCTTAAGGTCCCTTCCAACCCAAACCATCCTGTGATCCTACACAGGAATTATTTAAGGGATCCTTGGATACACCAACAAGCCTGAGCCAAAGGCAACAACAAATGAAAACTTGTGAGAAAAACACCTGCTCAGGTTCCAGGGGCTGCCTGAAATAAGAGATTGGTTTTAATATCATCAGTTTTCATTTCCACCTTTACTTTTCATGAGCTGTAATTTGGTTTCATGACAACCAATTATCGTCCCCAGTAAAGCTGGAGAATAAGAGAAGTTCAAAGTGTCTGATGTTATTAAACCAGAAGTCAGGCTAAACGTGACTCAAGCAAGAATTAACCCCCCTGAGGTCAGACCCAGGCACAGTCACACAGAGTTTGGCACCTCAGTCATCCAGGCTCCCTCTGGGGGTTTTTTGAGACAACCATTCCTTGCTCTCCTGACCCTGCAGGGACGTGGCTGTGCTGGATTTCCTTCCTTCCCTGGAACACAAGTGGCCACTGAGAACCCAGCTCAGATCCCCAGGTGATGTTCCCTCCTCACTCCCATTCCTGGGGATGGGATCAGGGCAGAGGGATGGGCAGTCCCCAGGTATGGAAAAGCCAGGCTAGGAGAGCTAGGGGAGGTTCACCTGGAGAAGAGAAGGATCCAGGGAGAGCTGAGAGCCCCTTGCAGGGGTTCCAAGAGAGCTGGAGAGGGACTGGGGACAAGGCATGGAGGGACAGGACACGGGGAATGGCTTCCCACTGCCAGAGGGCAGGGAGAGATGGGAGATTGGGAAGGAATTCCTGGCTGGGAGGGTGGGGAGGCCCTGGCCCAGGTTGCCCAGAGAAGCTGTGGCTGCCCCTGGATCCCTGGAAGTGTCCAAGGCCAGGTTGGAGCAACCTGGGCTGGTGGAAGGTGTCCCTGCCCATGGCAGGGGTGGCACTGGGTGGGCTTTGAGGCCCCTTCCATCCCAAACCATTCCATGAGTCCATGACAGCTGCAGCCCCAGGTGTTTCTGCTCTGGATAACACCAGGTCACCCCACCCAGCCCAGCTGGGGCTCCGTAGCTCTAATTGGGGTGTGGTGCTTTCAGTCCCCCCCCCCCCAGCCCCTGCAAGGCTCCCAAAAATCCAGCACCCAAACCCAGACCTGCAAGAGCAGGATTTTACATCCCAGTCCTTCCCTTTGGAGAAGGGAAGCTTCTTTGTGCTGCTGCCACCACGGAGAGGGGCTGGGGATGTGCTGCAGCAAACTGCTCCCAACAGATAAACCGAACAACTGCTGCCTTGTTCCAGTCAGAACACGCCCCAAAACACCCCTCAGCCCTGCAGCTTCGTTTGCAGCAACACAGACTCCCTGGAATTGGAAACACAGGAAGCACAATTCCCACTCACTCCAAACTCCAGAGCCCAAGCTCTGGGTAAGCACGTGGTTCTCAGCACAGACCCACTGAGAGCACAGCCCAGCTCCAGCCATCCACCCCCACAGGGAATTCCTGGGAAACGCTCAGCATCACTTTTGGCATCCTGGGGAGAGGCACCGTCCCCCCAGCCCTCCCCAGCGCTGCATTTGCCTCCCGAATTATTAAAAGCAAACCCATTTTCACTGCACTGAAGCTGTTGCTGGAGGGAGACTCATCCCGAGGACCCAGCACAGTCCCAGGCTGTGTGAGCCACAGGCTCGGCTCAGCAGCTCTTGGAGATCCTCCAGGAACAAAGAAAGCACCAAGGATAACATTCCAAGGTGCCTGCCTTAATTCCAGGGAAAAGGAGCAGTAATATCCAAATTGCACTGAATCTGCCACTGAAAACACCCATAACAGCAAGAGGTGAGTGCTGGGGCAGCTCAGCCTCCCCCCTCAGTAAATCCAAGCAGTCCTTTTTCCCTGGCACATAACGAGGAAAGCTGAAGTGCCAGGGAAGCAGCAGGAGAAAACTCGATCAGAAACGGTAAATAAACCAACAAATAAAGGTACAAAAAGCACGGAGCACTCACCAGGGCCAGCAGAGAGGACCAAACCCCCGCCACAGGAGCTCTCCCACTCCTCCGGGACACGGCACCAGCCTGGCCCCACCCTCCTTATATGGGCTCCTTAATTACAACTGCAAACACCTGGGTTTAATTACCAGGCAGAGCTCATTTATGGAGCCCCTGCTGCAGCTCAGCACCCAGAGACACCCAGCAGGACACCCAGGGGGTGCTCAGCACCCCCTGACACTCAGGACCCCCCTGGGATGTTCAGCACATCCAGGTTGCTCACAGAGCTCCAAATATTTTCCTGGTGTCCGACAGATAAAGGGTGGGTTTGTTCTGTGGGGACTCTTGGAACACACTTCCCTTTTCAGGGTGAAAATCTTTGTCAGTGCCCAGAATTCCCAGCAAGAGGGAGGGCCTGGGGAAAGGAAAACAAAGGGAAAATCACCACTAAAAAGAGGCCATCCCAATTCAGCAGGTGGGGAAACAAAGGTACAAGGACAATAATCCACACTCAGGGGCCTCCCGTGGGTCGGGAGGGGCTGGAATTCCAGTGTGTCCTATTGAGAAGTCACTGATCTCCCGTGCCAGGAGAGCCTATGGCTCTGCCAGGAATTTTTTAAATGAATTTTTTAAAAAATGACCATTCCTGGTTGCTTTGAAGTGGTTTTGGGGCACGTGAAGTTGGTTTTTTACCCTGAGGGTCAATGCCTCTGGGAGTGCTCAGATTAACTCATCCCACAGATTCCAAGTTAAATGTGGTCTCTGTTACTGCTGGGGTCAGAATTTGATGAAACAAGTTTTGTGTTTGCTGATGAGGGGAGTTGATCCCAGTGAAACTGGGAGATGCCCCACCCCTGGAATTGCTCGAGGCCGGGTTGGATGGGCTTTGAGCAATGATAATGGGTATTTTTTCCCCTAAGTGCATTATTTTTACAGTTCCTGCAGACACTGGATATCAGGATGCAATAAACCCTGCTGGAAGCAGTGGAGAGGAGATTCCCAAGGAACACCCATCAGATCCATTCTGTCCCTCAAAGCTCTTCCCAATATCCCATTTGTGCCCACAGACAAGAACTTCGGGCTGCTCCCAAAACTTGTGTCTCCCAGTTTGTGTGTGGGACAGCAGCCAAGGTGTAAATGAGTCCGTGTTAGTGCAGAGTCACACATGCAGCTCCTACAGAGGATGATTAGCTAATTGCAGTTAATTACTTTGCAAACAAAGCACTGGGACCCTACAAAGCGTCATAACCAGCGGGTTTTTGTCACTTCATGTCTAACAGGGTAATAAGGCCCCAGCTATTCCCCTACAACTGGTTCTTTGTTTGCTTTACAGGCTGATACCTGCTGATAAAACGCTTTACTTTCAAGTGATAAATTATCTTAATTAACTTTAATTGTTTGCAGACGAATTTATGCAAATGGAGCCGTTTCAGGAGCAGAGGCAGAGGTGGGACTGTGGCTTGGGAGATGGCAAAGGAACACTTGACCTTGTTCGGATCAGTGGGGCTTTAATTCTTTAAAATAAGAACACGAGGCCTGGGGTGAGGTGGGACAGCAGCTGGAATGGGAGGGGAAATACGATCATGGATTGTTTTCCCAGCCTTTCCCTGAAGGATCAGAGACTGCTTTGGGTTGGAAGAGACATTAAAGATCATCTCATCCCACCCCCTGCCATGGGCAGGGACACCTTCCACTAGCCCAGGCTGCTCCAGGCCCCTTCCAGCCTGGCCTTGGACACTTCCAGGGGTGGGGATTCCCAGAGAAAGATTTCCCTTCTTTTGCCTTTATTCCTGCCTGTGATTCCACCCCCACTGCAGCAGTGCATCCATCCATCCAGAGCATTTCCCAGGAGCCAGGTGTGACATGAGGTGACTGAGAGGTTTTCCAAGCACCAGGACAACCAGGAAGCCGAAATCCAGTGGGGCTGCAGTGGGTCCTGCTGCTGCTGTGACATCCCGTGTCCCTTGGTGTTCCTGGTGGAACTGGATTGTCCTCCTGGAGCAGCTGGAGGAAAACAAAAGAAGGATAAGCTGATCAGAAATAAATCCTGCCCCCCATAAAAACGTGCCATGAATTTACACCACCCCTTCCACGCCCTCAGCTCCTCCTGGATGTCTTATTCCTGCTTTTATTGCTTGGGAGGGGGGAAAAATGAGGTTACTGTGAGCAGCCTTGGTCTAGTGGAAGGTGTCCCTGCCCATGGCAGAGGGGGGGACAGGATGAGTATTGATTCCTATCGTATCATGGAAGGATTGGGGTTGGAAGGCACCTTAAAAACCACCTAGTTCCAACCCCCTGCCAAAATGCCACCACCCAAATCCCTGTGGGAAGCTCGGACCTTTTCCCACCCCTAAAGCCACACCCCCCTCGAATGCCAGGGTCCCCCAGCACTGCCACGGCCTGCACACGGGAATTGGTGCAGGAAGGTTGAGAGCTGGGGGGCTGATTCATTTTTTTCCACAGAAGGCAAAACACCCAGAAAACTTCAGGCCAGGGAGCTGTGTGTCCAGGCCACAGCTGGCCACAAATCAGGGGCAGTTGAAAAATGCTGATAATGAACTGCAGGGATGACCCAGCACCCCTGAAGGGACATGGGGCATGACCCAGGCACCGAAAACAGGACTGCCCTAATCAGGCACTGCCCTGGGGAGGGAGGGTCAGGGCATTGCCATGGCAACCAGAGTCCACGCTCCGCCTGGAGCAGCCCTGGGAAGCAGGATCACAGTCATTTAGGCTGGAAAAGGGCTCTAAGATCCCGGAGTGCAGCTGCCAACTGGCACTGCCCAGCCCAGCACTGCTTCAGCTCCCAGCTCCCTGCACTTCCCAGGCAGGAGCAGTTCATCACCAGTTCCTGGTGCAACTCCCCTTCAAGTCTTTGGGCAGTTTATGGTTTCTCATCCCTCTGGTTTGACTTGTGACTGGGAGATGCCACCACCACTCCCTTTTCCCATTTGATTTTCAGGCAGACAGCATTAAAGCCCCAGATTTCATTTCTGAAGCCAGCTTGCAGTTCAATCTACTGGGAACACAGTTGTTTGTTTGCTGCTTCCCCGGGTCAGCACCTCCTCTGCTGTTGTTTCAAGGTTGACAGTGATTTAAACTCGGTGTATTTTCACAAGCTGAGCCTAATCCGGGGGATAAATCATCCCGAGGGAAGTTTATTCCTGCCTGTCATTTCTCAGGAAGGTGCTCTTAGGGCTGGGCTCGGAACAATGTGCACTTCCTAAATTTGCTGCCGCTGTCTTGTGGAGGCCCCAGGTTTTAATGAGCTGTGAGAGGCAGGAGGGATGGAGCTGATGCAGGTGAGCAGAGCACAACTGCTGCCCCTCACTCAGGACCATGGCAGTGGGTTCTCCTCATGAATAGAAGGAATTCTGCATTGTAACTGCTCCCCTGCTATGTAGAGACTGGGTGAACTGGGCTCACTGGACACTCGTGAGTGGGACACACAGCCTGTCATCCCCTCCTGGGAGGAGCCCCTGGATCTGGGCTCTTCACCAGCACAGCACAGAATCCCAGGATCCCTGAGGCTGGAAAAGCCCTCCCAGCCCATGGATCCCCCTGTGCCCGATGCCCACCTTGTCCCCCAGCCCAGAGCACTCAGTGCCACGGCCAGGCCTTCCTGGGACACCTCCAGGGATGGGCACTCCAAAGTTGGGTATCTAGAAAAGGCTTCTTAAGGTTTCCCATCACATCCTGACATGGATCCCTGCCCCATTCCCTATGTTCTTCCGTGGCCCAGGTCCTGTGGAGCCACAGGAATTGCCTTGCAGGTGCTCTGAGGGTCTGTGTCCCACCTCCCTCCCTGGTCCTGCTTCAGGCTCAGCCCCAGCTGCCAAGTTTATCCTCTCTCAGACCTCAGTGGAGCTTTGCCACAGACACATCCTCCAGGGAATAATGACACCAGTAACAGCATTAAAGGCAGGAAAAGCCACTGATTTCAGTTATTTGTCAGGCTGGGTGCAATCTCCCAGCTGTGCTGCAGCCCCAGCACAGACAGGCCAAGCCTTTGTGTGCCACCCTTGACATGCATGAGTCGATGACATTAAATGCCAATGGAAGGATTTCTTGTATTATTTTAATAGCACAAAGCAAGAGTTCCTTGTCCAAATCCCATTAATAACCACTTTGAAAGTGGAGCCTGCAAAGCCCATTAAATCCAGACAGATATATTTTAGGCAAAAGCTAAAACTGTTTGAACTTTGCCGTGTCTGAGAGGGCACTTTAATTGAGCAGCAAACAGAGCATTTCTAATCCAGCCCAGATGAGAAAAGAGGGAGCAGAAAGGACACACTTTGAAAGGAGAAGGAAAATAAATAGCAGAGAGGAGCAGTGTCCTGGAGAGGAGCACCAGGAGAGCAGGGATGCAGGGATGGAGACACCAGGACCAGAACAGTGCCAGGTCAGACCCTGCTGAGAGGGGATGGGATCAGACTGTACCTTCCCTGGGAGGGTGGGGAGGGACTGGAATGGATATCCCAGAGGAGCTGTGGCTGCCCCTGGATCCCTGCAAGTGTCCAAGGCCAGGCTGGACGGGGCTTGCAGCAACCTGGGCTGGTGGAAGGTGTCCCTGCCCATGGCAGGGGGTGGGATGGGATGGGCTTTGAGGTCCCTTCCAACCCAATTTGTTCCATGGTTCTCTTTTCCTATGAAATCAAGGAATTAGCAGTGGGAATCTAACCTAAAGTATGAGCATCAATTTTAGTCCACAGCCTCATTTTGCTCTGGTATCACTGACCAAAACTGTCCCAGAGGGTGGGATCCAGGGAAGGTTTGAGCTCCCTACAACAGTCCTGGCTGTTCCACAGGTCTCCACAGAGGTGGCTGAACATTCCCTGATTAAACCCCGTCACTTCAGCCACACTCAGAGGAAAAAAAGGATCCAAATGGCTGGGAGGGAACAGGAGTTCAAATGAAAACTCCAGCTGCAAAGACCCAGAGCTGGAGAGGGAGGAGAGATGAAAGTTCCTCTTCAAGCCCAGGCTCTCCACAAGGAATTCACTCCGGTTTATCGGAGCAGACACAGATATTTCCCATTTCAAACCAAACTGCCTCAAAGCTTGGACGGGAACCTTCAGGTTCCGAGCAAGAAGTGGGGTGGGAAAGTAAAAGAACAACAAAACAAAGGAAATCTTTATGGAAAATTGGTGATACCCTTTCCAGCATCCTGGGAATGGGTATTGGGAAATATTCAAAAGGGCCACTGTGTATTCACAAATTCAGGTGCCAGTTTTTGCCTCTGAAGCTGCTCTGCTGCAGGGGCTTGGCAGGAAGCCAGAGAGGGGGAAATATCTCTCTCAGTTTGTGCTTCTTCTCCTCCCAGCCAGGGTGGGAATGGGGATTCCAGAAGAGATGGATGCTCTGGTGCCAACACAAGTGATGTGGTGCTCTGGTGACCCCACACGAGAGGTAACAGGTACCCCATGGAACCATCCAGCATTTCTGGACAGGCCTCAGAAATCCAGTGTGACTTTGGCTCTGGAAGAGAACCCCCAGCCCAGAGCAATTCCCACATTCCCGACACAGCAGCGGGGAAGGGCCGTGCCAGGAGAGACCGGGAATGCTGAGCTGGATCCTTCCACACCCCAGCCCCTCCCAGAGCACGTTGCAAAGGCTTTGAAGCCAAATGGCAGATTCCCTGTGGCTCATCAACATTCCCTGGAACTCTCCCCTCGTTAATTTGTTGGCAAAACACTGCAAACTTGACAAGAAGCACAGGGCAGGAGTCAAACGCTGCAGCCCGTGTGATTTCTGGGGAGATGTTAAATCTGCAAGAGAACAGCCTCTCCATAACCTCAGAGACTAAAAAGATGGGGAGTATTTTGCTATAATTGGTCTTATTCCTATTTGTGCTGCATTTATGAATAATATTAACCCACACAATTGGAGACATATGGTAGGGAGAAAATTAAAAAGTTACAGAGAGAAAATTAGCTGTGGGGATGTTTGGCGTGTCTGGGAGATTTTCTTGGGAGGTTTCAAGTCGTAAATCTCTTTTTTTAGCTGCACATAAAAGCCAAGACAGGTTTTTAAGATGGAAAATTGTTTTTCTCATTCTCCTGGCACAAGAATGGCCACTGATGGCACTGTCAAGTGTTGGACAAGGCACTCAGGGACAGGGTGGCATTGTTGGGGTGTCTGTGCTCCACCTTCATCCTTCCCTCCCTCCAGGGATTTATCCACAGGGATAAGACCCTGGGTCTCCTCCAGGCTCAGAGGATGCTCCAGCCCCTTTATAGCACTTCCCATGGAATCACAGGATGACAGGATGGTTTGGGTTGGAAGGGACCTTCTAAAGGTCATCTGGTCCAACCCCCTGCCATGGGCAGGAGAAAACTATCCAAAAAAGGGTACTTAAGGGCAAAGCAGGGCAGGAATTTCATTGAAGTGATACATTTACCTGGATTCTGCTAAACTCCAAGAGCCAGGAGTCACCCCAGCAGAGAGATGAACACCAGCACAAGCCCTGGCTGGCTGTGCCCTCTTCCACCCCCCACCGAAGGGAAATTTCCTCTGGCTGTGTCATCTGCCCTGGAACAGGAATTGTTCTCCAAAGGGCACTTTGGAAAACAGACCCAGCCCCGTTTAGGGACCTCAATTCTCTTAGTGCTCCTCTAAGCTGAATGAAATGAGGTTTCAGGGCCCTCAAACAATACAATTAATGCCATTACAACAGAGTGCTTTGCAGTAACGACCTGGCGCTGGAATGGAATTGCTTTTCTGGGGCTAATGGGAATTCTTGCATTTCTAATGGGGCACATTTAGTGCAGACATATGTTTTAGAGGCTCTCTCCCATTTGTAAATATTGCAAGGTGTTTATTCCAGGGGTGGGATGCAGCTTTCCCCACAGCCCAGCTGGTTTTCCTGGTGCTTGTCCAGCAGCGCTTCCCCGGGATCCATTTGTGACTTTTCCAAGCTTTCCCCCCTCCTGCTGCCCAGAAGCTGGAGGAGGTTTAATAATAGATAATAACTCATGTAGCATTACCATGATTAAGTGCTCCAGCAAAAGCTCTGCCGAGTTCAAATGACCAGAGATGTAAATCCAGAAGGGACAGCTCCACTTTTCTCAGCTCACTGCACTGACTTCTCCAAGCATCCACTTTGTCTCGCTGGTACCCTGGGGGTTGTCTCAGAAGCTCTTCTGTTTCTCCTCTAATTGCCCTTCCCTAAAACACACCGTGCTCCTCAATTCCATCTCCTGATCCCTCCCCTCAAATAACACCTCAGCAGGAGTTATCTTGCAGTCTCAGATGACACCAAAGTGCCTGGTCCTGGGGACATCTCCCCTGTCCCTCTGCTGCCCCAGGGCTGCTCTCCTGTGCCACATTCTCACCCAAAACAGAGGCTGTGTCCCCATGGGATGGTGCAGCAGGTCCAGGAATAGCCATCAGAACTTGTGTCCCTCCTGCTGGAATTCACAGGAACAAATGCACAGGGACAGAGTCCTCAGCCGGGTCACTGCTGCTCCTGCTGGTGCTGCTGGATCACGGGACCATGGAATGGTTTCGGTGGGAAGGGACCTTAAAAGCCATCCAGTGCCACCCCTGCCATGGGCAGGGACACCTTCCACCAGCCCAGGTTGCTCTAGCCTGGCCTTGACACTTCCAGGGATCCAGAGGCAGCCACAGCTTCTCTGGGTAACCTGGGCCAGGGCCTCCCCACCCTCCCAGCCAGGAATTCCTTCCCAATATCCCATCTCTCCCTGCCCTCTGGCAGTGGGAAGCCATTCCCTGTGTCCTGTCCCTCCATGCCTTGTCCCCAGTCCCTCTCCAGCTCTCCTGGAGCCCCTTCAGGCCCTGCCAGGGGCTCTCAGCTCTCCCTGGAGCCTTCCCTTCTCCAGGGGAACCCCCCCAGCTCTCCCAGCCTGGCTCCAGAGCTGAGGGGCTCCAGCCCTGGGAGCATCTCCATGGCCTCCTCTGGGCTCACTCCAGCAGCTCCACGTGGTTATGTCAGCACATTCCCAAGACCTGCTGTATCCATCCATCCATCCATCCATCCCTCCATCCCATTGCATGGATAACAGTGGGATCCCCCACACTGGTGTAACCAGTGCAGCCACAGTCACAGCATTCAGGAGACCCAAATAAGACTTTCCCTACAGGAACAGCCCGGCCTCCCTAAAATCCCCATTCCTGTGTGGTGATGAGGGAGGACCCTGGGCTCAGTAACCCGATGACTTCACTAAACAAAGGCAGAGCCACTCTGCAGTGCCCTTCTCCACGGAGAGTGCCCAGCTGGGCACCTTTGCTGGCTCCCAGCAAGAAGAATTCCCTCCTAAAGGGAAGAGGATTCCCAGGCAAACAGGAGCAAGGGCAGCCTCAGCTAATGGGGGTGAGGCCTTGCAAGTCCCCCAGTCTCAGTGTCATTAGTGAACATGTTGTAGCAAAGATGAGAAGAAACGATGGACAGGCAGGGAGTGACCTCCTCGTGGAGGCTCAGGATCAGGATAATTAGTGGACTCATTACCCCTTCCCCAGCACAGACCTGTCTCCTTTTCATCCTGTGCCTTGGTACCAAACCAGGCACCTTCTGGTAAAACAAAATGTCAGCAAATGAAGGTCACGAAGCAGGAAAAGCTGCTTCACACACTCTGTGAAATCGCTGCCACCCGAGGTCACCTCAGCACAGCTGCTCCTTTGAGTTGTTGTTTTATGGGATGTGTGATCTCCAGCCCACTCATCCATCATTTCCAGCTCTCCCACCATCCAGCACCAGCCACATTTGAGCCAACACTGATCACCAGAGGCACAAAGAGACCTCGCCCCTGTAACAGGGAATTTGGGTCCTGCTCACACAGGGGGGTCTCTGGCACAACCCAGGGGCTCCTGGGGGAGGGGGTATCCAACAAAACTATGGGAAGCCAAAATCAAGATGTCAAATCACTGGAAGTTATCCTGGTTACAAAGTAAAGGTCAGGCTGTGCTTGCTGGGAGCGTTGTTAATGTAAATCAACCTCCCTGGGCCCCGTGGGCTCATCAGATCCTGCTCCTGCAGGGAGTGCGGCTGGAACACGGGATCTGGAGCTTTCCACAGGAGACACAAGGGAGACCTGCTGGGTTACACCGTGTCAGAATGCACAGAGGGAATGCTTGGAAGACAAAGGGGGGTTTTGCTTTGCATTTTTTGATTCATTTAAAGAACCAGCTGCAAATCTTTGCCAGAGGGAACCAGAGCTGGGGCCAAAGTAATCCTGGAATGGTTTGGGTTGGAAAGGACCTCAAAGCCCACCCAGTGCCACCCCTGCCACGGGCAGGGACACCTTCCACCAGCCCAGGTTGCTCCAGCCTGGCCTTGGACACTTCCAGGGATCCAGGGGCAGCCACAGCTCCTCTGGGCAGCCTGTGCCAGGGCCTGCCCACCCTCCCAGCCAGCAATTCCTTCCCATCTCACGTGCCCAGCTGGGCTGTAATTAGTGCCCCAATATCCCACTCCCCCTCCCAGGCCCACAGGGACACACCCTGGGCCAACAGTGCTTTGAAGACCAAACTGAAATGTCCTGTTGGCACTCGGATCCCCCCACGGGGAGGAATTTGCAACCCTTGGTTGTGCTGCACAGAATATCAGACATTTATTAAACATCTGGGGTTGCTGCCTAGCTTTGGGATGACTTTTTCAAGTCTGTACACTGGTGAGAGAGATTTTTTCACACTGAACAGCACTGGGCTGTGAGAGCTGCTGCTTTCCCCTAAATACTGGACACCAAAGCCAAAAACCCTGAGCAGGTTGAGGTCCCCAAAGCCTTTTTAGGGCTCACCTGTCCAATGGCTTCACCCACAGCTGAGCTGCTTGGTTTTATTTCCAGCCCATACAGAAGGATTAGACTTAGAACCGGGGGGGGATGTGTATTTTGGAGCCTCTGAATCATTGTCTGTATCTCTCCAGTGAGAGATTTTGTGTCTTTTTGCCACCTTTCCTCTAAAGGAAGGACGATCAGCAAACCCTTTATATCCATTTCAATAAAATCACCAGCTGGAGACACTGGCGAGGCCATTCCTGAGTTTCTGCTGGAACACCAGGGCCTGTGTGAAGCTGTTGGTCCCAATATCTCAAATATTCACAGTTAAATATGAACCCAGAGGGTAAATGCTCATCCTGTGAGCCTAATGATGCTCCTGGAGAGGGGAGGACTTCCTTGAAGAGCTCCTCCATGGAGCTGTTGGAGCAGGATAATGGCATCTCACAGGCTACAATTAGGGAGGGATGTGGAAAAAGGTGTCAAGGAAAGCAATGAAAAGGGCAATTTATTTCTCCTTTTTCTCTCCACGTCTCCCGTGCTCCCTTTGGGCTCAGGTTTCTTCACAAGCGATTCATTCTTGTGACTTGTCATTTTAACAACTGCTCACACTTTTAGAGGACATTTCCAGGGGAAAGAAACCCATGGAAAAAACTGCTGCGAAGCTGCAGTGGAAAACGGGAAATATTTTACTTTTCTCTCCCTTTATCAGTGGCAGAACCATCTCCTGCCAACCAAACCATCTCTCTGTTATTAAATAACTCATTAAGGGCTCAGACAATCCATGGCCTGCAGGGCTGCTTTGGAGGAGCTGAATTCCATCCCCGTTCATTCCTGTCTCTGGGATGGAGAGTTTGACAGGAGTAATTTGAGGGTGAAGGAGGAGAATTCTGTTGTCTGTCATAAACTGTGATTAAGGTTTTACCAACCACCACTGGCTCCTTATATTTTTGGGAGAAACACATCCATATATACTTTAACCACCACGAGGGCTCTGTCCTGTGGCACAGGGTGGGAGATGGGCTTTGCTGACCTCCTTTGGTGCCCTGACAAATTCAATGTCCTTAAAGCCTCCTCCTGTTGAGCACAAAGGCCACAAAGCTTTTATTATACCCTTAAAAATGAAAGAAACTCTGATGCCTTGTTTTTTCATATTCTGTACATCCCCTGAGGTTTAAAATTGACTTGTGGATCCCAGTTATTCCAAGTAAACCCCTTTCAGGCTGTTTTCTGAGGAAGTTTCTTGTACATGAGCTTTTCCTACCTCTTGCAGGTCAAGTGGAGCAAGGCCTCCTCTTACACAGCATCATCTCCCATCTGTCTGGTTCAATGTCAGTCAGAAACTTCAGGTCTTTTTCCAAGTCTTCAGGGGCCCAAGACTGTGGAATTCAACGCAAATGGAAAAGCTCAATTCCCTGGAAAATCATGGACCTCATGGAGCCCCAGCCCCACATCCCTCCTGCCCCCCCAGATAAAAACCCAATGGTTTGGGTTGGAAGGGACCTTAAAGCCCATCCCACTCCACCCCCTGCCATGGGCAGGGACACTTCCCACCATCCCAGGTTGCTCCAAGCCCTGTCCAACCTGGCCTGGGAATCCTTTAGAACCAAGGGCTGCAGGTTCATGAACAACCAGGAGCCTAAAAGAGAGTTTTGGGGGAAATGTGTGTGTGCAAGTGAGGGAATAAAGAATGGGGATAGAGACCACCAGGAAAGCTGCATGGAAGCACCAGGATAAATGTAATTAAGGAAACCAGGGAATCCCAAAGAAAGGAGAAACTGAAGAATAATCCCACAAAGTGCATCAGAGACCAGAAGAAACTGGGTAAGTCCATGAGTGAGTAAAGATCAAACAGGGACCGTGAGAGCGGGTCCAGGAGTCAGGGAGAAGGGAAGAAGGATTTGGGAAGGTTTGGGAAGGGAAGGTTTGGGAAGGAAAGGGAAGGGAAGGCAGACTGACAGTGGGGCTGCATGAAGGGAGATGAGAGTGCCCTGGAATTCCAGGAGCACAGGGAGCTGGGAGCATGGGATCTCCCTGAGGGGGCACTGCAGTGTCCTGAGGGAGCTCAGCTGGGCCGTGAGAACACAAATGTCTCATTTTTGTCCGTACCTTGGAGATCTCTCAGGGCTTCTGTAGTTGCATCCCAAATAACTCAGAGCAGTTTGGGAATCTGGGAAGTGGTGGCAGCTGACAATGAACCACTCTGAGAAGGAAAGTCATGGAAACCAACTAAGTAAAAGCAGCCAGTGCCCATGTCCCTGATCCAAACAGCTGGATCGTGGCATTATCCCATTACAGCCCCTCCAAACCATATTCCTGACCACGAGGGACCACAGGACACTCAGGAGATTTCCTGCTGGGAGCCCTTGAGCATCACCACTGTCTCCATATCATGGTCTGGACGTAATTCTTCAAACACAGGCCAAAGCCAATAATTAGCTCAGTGTGTAATTATCTCTTTCAGCACCTCTGCAGTTCAGACTCTGTGAGGAATTTATTTCCTGAAGGGCTTTGGAGGGTTTTGCAAGTACAGAATGAAATTTGTTAACTGTTAATAACTCCCAAATTAGCTCATTTATTAAGGGCTGGAAATAACTCAGCCCTGTCAGCCGGAATCAACAAGTTATCTGGGAATGTAAAGAGGCAAAGAAACAAAAGGATATTTAACCCTTTCTCCAGTCCAAGGCAGGGGGAGGACCAGAGATATCAAAGGATGTCTCAGTTCCTGGCTGGGAGGGTGAGGAGGTCTGGAATAGAATTCCCAGAGAAGCTGTGGCTGCCCCTGGATCCCTGGAAGTGTCCCAGGCCAGATTGGAGCAACCTGGGATAGAGGAAGGTGTCCCTGCCTGTGGAGGGGGTGGCACTGGATGGGCTTTAAGGTCCCTTCCCACCCAAGGTGTTCTGTGATTCCATGGCTCTGCTGGACCCTCTGAGCTTGTTCACCAGTTTATTTTATTTTGGGCTTTTCCCCTTTTGAGCACTGGGTGAGGAATTGTTTCAGAGTTCAGCTCTTCTCCCAGCACAACCCCCAGGTCTGACTGATACAAACTCCATGGTGAGCAATGCCCTGGGATGGCACCAGGAGCTGAGCAGGAACAAACACACAACTGCTGTGCCAATCATTCCCGTTTGGGAGCTGTGGGATGGCACCAGGAACAAACACACAACTGCTGTGCCAATCATTCCCATTTGGGAGCTGTGGGATGGCACCAGGAACAAACACACAACTGCTGTGCCAATCATTCCCATTTGGAAGCCCTTGGAACAGACCTGCAGGTCTCATGGGTCCAGGAGGAAAGTCCTCGCTGTGCCCTGGATCTCTGCCCCCTGCAGGGGTCACTCCTTTGTCCTGCTCTGTCGTGGCCACTGTGCCCTGCCTGGGAATAAATATTGTGTCTTGGTAGTGCTTCTCTAGTCCCTGTGTCACATGTGAGCCCCAGGCAGGCTGAGGGAAGCAATTTAACAGGGGGAAGCATCTCTCAGTGGATTTGACAGGAATATCACAGTCACTGGGTGAAATAAGGGCAGCAAATTGACTGCAGGGCTCTGGGGAAACCTCTGAGTGCTGGGAGTCTAATGGGTTATTCCCAGATACAACCAGAGCAGCTTCAAGGGGCTGCAGCAGCAGTGACTGAGCCAGAGTGTCCCTAATGAACAGCACAGTCCCCGTGTGACTCACTGAGCAGGACCCTCTGACCCCGCTGGGAGAGCAGTTCTGAGAGCTCCAACTCCCACAAAACTCGAGCTGGGAAGGAGTCTGGAGCAGCAGGAGGGGCTGAGGGAGCTGGGAGGGCTCAGCCTGGAGAAAAGGAGGCTCAGGGGGGACCTTCTGGCTCTGCAACCCCCTGACAGGAGGGGGGAGCCGGGGGAAGTCGGGCTCTGCTCCCAGGGAACAAGGGACAGGAGGAGAGGGAACGGCCTCCAGCTGTGCCAGGGGAGGCTCAGGTGGGACAGGAGGAGGAAAAAATAATCATGGAGAAGGTTGTAAAGCAACCTGGTGAGCTCAGTGCTGGAGTCCCCATCCCGGGAAGTGCCCAAAAACCGTGGGGATGTGGCACTGGGGGATGTGGTTTAGTGGTGAACGTGGTGCTGCTGGTGGAGAGCTGGACTTAAAGGTCTTTTCCAACCTTAACAATTCCATGAGTCTGTTTTACAAACACGTGAAAGAAAAGCCTAAAAGAAACCTTGATCCCCAACCCCTCAGGCCAGAGGTGTTCCTGGTGCATTCCCAGCCCTGTGGGCACTGGAGCTCCACGAGGCAGCACCATCTCCCCGTGACAAATGGGGCAGCTTTATCTCCAAACACAGACAACACAAAGCACCCTGATAAGGGCAAGGAATTTGTTTGCTTCTAATGGATTTCTGCCACTGGGAACAGAAATAAATGTCCTGTCAATTTGTAATAAATATACACCTGCCTTATCTCTGGTGTTAATCTGAGGAAGCAAAAGCTGTCTAATAAGAAGTGATAATATTTATTTTAACCTCTCCAAATCCTCAATGACACAGAGGAACGTGCATATTCCCAACTCCACGGGGTTTGTAATCCATTCCAGTATTTGGAAATATTATTTGAGGCCATTTGTTATCCCTTTGGATCAAAATAGAAATAGACTGTAAATACAGGTTTTTTTGGTCAAACCCAAAAGGTCACTGACTCTCTGAAGCTTTGACCGTGGTAAAGGAGATGCTGGGACTCCTCTCCAACCTGTATCCAGTGGGATGATCACTTCTTATCTGAGAACTCAATTTAAAACCATCCAAATCAGTAAGAAAACACCTTTAAAGCCAATTTTTGCCAGTGATTTGAAATGAGTTACCTGCAGAGAGACTCAACAGATCTTAATCTGCTATGTGGCACCTGTAAGAACATTTAACATGAAAATCTATCAGCTCCCACATCACTGTGCTGAACTCAGGGAATAAATTGCTGTGTTGGTAGAGGAGGAGGAATTGCAACTAAAACAGAGGGAAGAGGGGCAGGAAAATGTTTCTATCAAAAATAGTGTGGGCACAGGCCCAGGGCAGGGACTGTCCCTGTGCTGGCACTGCTGGGGCACCTCCAGTGCTGGGGGCACTTCTGGGATCTCAGACAAGAGAGACACGGAGGGGCTGGAGCGTGTGCAGGGAAGGAAAGGGAGCTGGGAAGGGTCTGGAGCAGCAGGAGGGGCTGGGGGAGCTGGGGGGGCTCAGCCTGGAGAAAAGGAGGCTCAGGGGGGACCTTCTGGCTCTGCAACCCCCTGACAGGAGGGGGGAGCCGGGGGGGGGTCGGGCTCTGCTGCCAGGGAACAAGGGACAGGAGGAGAGGGAACGGCCTCCAGCTGTGCCAGGGGAGGCTCAGGTGGGACAGGAGGAGGAATTTCCTCCTGGAAAGGGTGGTGAGGCCTTGGCAGGGGCTGCCCAGGGAGGTTTGGAGTGCCCAGCCCTGGAGGTGTCCCAGGAAGGCCTGGCCGTGGCACTCAGTGCTCTGGGCTGGGGGACAAGGTGGGCATCGGGCACAGGGGGATCCATGGGCTGGGAGGGCTTTTCCACCTTTAATGACTCTGGGATTTGGAATTGGCTGCTGATGGTGGGAAATGCAGAGAGGGCAGTGAAATGTGTCTTCTGACTTTCCTACAGCTCAGTAGGATCAGTGCCATGGAAGGAACAGGACTCAGATCCACCAGGACAAAACTCTGCAGAACTCTGGGGGGCTTAATCAGCCAAAATTTCCAGCCTAAATTAAGTTTCCAGCTCCCATTGCAGTGACCCCCCTGATCACACACACACTGCACATGGGGCTGTGGTGGCTCCTGAGCACTCCAACCCATTCCCATGGGAGCCCATAAAATAAACCAGCACTTGGCAGGAGAGAGCAGGAACCTTGATCAGGAAGGAAAACCTTGGAAAGCACATCTTATAGACCAAAAGGCTCCCTAAGGAAATCAGGTGAGGCAGGGACTGTGCTGAGCCAAAAGGCCTGATTTAGGTGAAACCCATCTGGATGAAAATGTCAGACAAGGGGGTGCTAAAAGAAAGGAAAATATAAAGATTGCTGGTGAGGGATGTCAGAACCAGGAGCTGATCCCATCTTATGGCTTCTCATTTTTCAATAGACATTGTTCATATCAAAAATGAGATTTTGGGATCCAAAATTATTAGCATTTGGTTCTGTATAAAGTAGCAAAGTTTGGGTAAGGCTGTTATCCCATCCTTTCCTGTTGTGCCTTACTCCCTTGGCTCAGGTTAGTCAGACTTTGCCAAAAGAGTAATTTATGTGCATTTTAAGCATTTTCTGAGACACAAAATCTGTGGAGGAGGAAGAGACAAGGCACCAGAGTGGACAGGGCCTCGGTGGGCAGCTCCTGGCTGTGGCTGCTCTCCCACCACAGCTGACTCAGGAAGCATCTGTGGTCCCACATTCCCTGTCTTTCAAGCCTTTCCAAGGGACAAGTTGACATTTCAGAGCTTCCCCCCCTGCCCATGACGGCAGCCAGTGGCAACTGTCCCATAAATGGACGCTGGTTACAATTCCAGCTCAGTCCTTGAGCCCTGGGGAGGGAACCTGGGGTGGCTGTGAGATTCAAACCCAGGGAACCATCACAAACTGCTCACAGCAGAAACACTCGACCTCAGAGCAAAGGAAGGGTTTTCCCTCCTCGCCAGGGTTTGCTGCCCGTCCTTTAACGACGGAGCACAGAGGACTGGGGTGAGAAAGGCAGATGGAGCACTTCTCATTTCTGTGCCCCTCCTGCCCCCTGACTGGCACCAGGCCATCAGTCAGTGGCACTGAGTCCCTGGTGTCCCCTGCACATTCCTGCTGCTTCCCAGCACTGCCAGACTGGGGTTAATGGATCACTGACACCGGACAGATGGGATCAACGGGGCTGTGGAAGCTCAGGAGGGAACCTCAGGGTGACCTGAGCAGCAAAAGGTGACCTTGGACACGAAGGTGACAGATAAAAGCTCAGCTCTGGCTGTTCTAAGGCAAAGGAAGCCTTGGACATGTGAGCAGGGGGATCCAGGCTCTCCTTGTCTAAACTCCCAGTTGGCGGAGCAGTTGTGGGAAGGGATGGACATAGGCAGAGCTGGGGGGGGGGTGTGACCATGACAATCAGCATTAGAGAGGATGAAAATGCTGCTTTTGGGGCAGGATTTGCCATTTCACTGATCACAGAATCACCAAGATTGAGCTCTGAGCTCACCAAGTCCAACCACTGCCCC